CATACATACATACATACATACATACATACATACATACATACATACATACATACATGCATACGTACAATCCTAGTTGAAATTAATGCTTAATAGAAGAGAGGTTTCTTTTTTCTTACAGCAAAAATCGGCACGCTGAAATAAAATCTATCTGACTTTATAATAAAACCCAGGCTGGAACGCACCAAGCGAGCCTGTGCGATCATGTGTTTTTGTACCAAACATGAAGTGATTAAGTTAACTGCATGAATGGTTGTTTCTTCACACCTACCCTGTGAGCTCAATACCGTAAATCATCGTAAATTTTGCATGAAAGGAAATAAACAATTTGTGTTCAGTGGTCTTTTTTTGAAAATGATCCAACTGTTCAATGAGTAATTTTCCCGCCAAAAATTTAAGTGTCCGTACACGAGAATCATGTGTACATTGAGGCTGGATTTGAAACCCTTAAGTTGTATTTGGACGGGGAGTATTCTCCTAAAATCTCAGCTTCCCAGCTTTTCTGTATCACAAGCTAGCAATTTTCCCGCCAAAACCTTCGCAGGCCGTGGATGACCTCGGAGCACACTTGGGGACTGGGTTTGGAATTTTTAAGTTGTATATAGGTTGGGAACATCCCCTGAAAATTTCAGTCTCCCAGCTTTGCTAGTTCCCGAGTTAGCCATTTTTGCGTCAAAAAAGAATCACAAGGCTGTACGTGAGAACCGCATGTTCCTGGAGGCTGAATTTGATTGCTTTATGCTATACTTATGCCGAGAACATTCCCTGAAAATTTCGGTCCCTCAGCTTTCCTGGTTCCCATGCTGGCGATTTCCGCGCCAGGAACCCTCACGGGGCTGTAAGCGGGAACCAAGCACACCTGAGGAGTGAATTTGAAATTTTTGAGCTATAGGTGAAGGGGAATATAACCTCAAGATTTCAGCTTTCTCTCTTTTTTCGTTCCCAAGTTATCAATTTTCCCGCCAAAACTTTCACTCTCTCGTACGCAGGGCACAGACTTACATGGACCCCGCGTACTTCTTACTCACATGACACCTGTGTGAGCACAAAAAAACAACCTGATTTCAGCTTTCTCTTTTGCGATACGATGAAATCAACCGGATCCTGGTCTGATGATCATAACTCCAGAATCAGATGAAATCGCGAACTGATTTTAGACACAGAACTGGAGATTAGGTTGCAACTTAGCCTCCGAGGTCCCAGAATCTAGTATTTACATCTCTAGATTAGTGTTGTATGAAATAGCGAAAAAACACGTGTAAACAAACGCAATCGTTTTGGTCGACGCTTTTTTGCACTTGCTTGCAAAAACGTTAAAAAAAAGGTGCAAGATTTCAGGAGCATTATAAAAAAACCTTGAAAATTGGAATTTTAGAAATCATTTTTTTGAACAGTTATACTAGAATTCTGGAAAAGCTACAGCACTCCCACGTCTGACCCATTCTCAAACGGTGAAGGACCCGCCACTGGCTGGTGCGATTATATGCAAGCGCTTGCGGCCTGATAAAATATTGCCAGCAGTGGTAACAAGCCAGCAAAACATATACAAAAAGCGCTCATCATTCAGAATGGATTTGTCGTTCTCATCCAGACAAACCGCCACCGACAAGCAGCAATTACGAGGACAACAACAAGGCGTCACTTTTCAACAGCGCGCAGCAGTGTATGTGTCTTAAAATCATTACTACGGCATGAGTGCTAAAATGATGCTCGCTGGCTCAGCATGATTCACCCTGCCATCTTAAAAAAGGCAGTTTGAAAAAATGAAGGGAGGAAGGGCTGATAGTTGGAGACGGAGGGAGAAGACGGGTGAGCGGAGGTGAGGGAAGGGGTCGCCATTTTTCGCGAAATAATTGATCGTTATTTTTTAATACTTTTTGCAATAAAAAGGTTTACGCTTCCGACCTTTCTGTTATTTTTAACAAGAAATTTAAGTTAATAAATGAAAAATACCCGTAAAAATTCTCGATAGACTGCCTTTTTTCAAAGAATTACTGCGAAATTACGAAACTATAGGCATCGTAAGCTTTTTGAACATCGGTCTGCATTTGTTGTATTTTGCTTTATGTCGTGAATTGTGTTCCTCACAGCACAACATTCTGTGTTTTAACCTCTATTTGCGGTAAATTCGGACACATTTTGCAGTGGAAATGGCAGATGTGAACGAGGAACAGGTACAGACCCTCAGTGAAACTATTCTACCAGTCACGGCACATCATTTCATTGTCCAACACATGATGGCTACTGCTGCTGCAGCGGCAGCAGCTGCGGCTGCTGCTTCCACATCCCGACAAATACAGCTAGAAGAGGAGAAGCTGACTAGTAAGAATTCCAGTCACGATTTTGGGTGAGCTAATTTAAAGCTTCTCCTTTTGCAGAGTTAAACTTTCAAACCTTTACTTAAATTTTTGCCTTCCAGTTTTTTTGTTCTCCGAATCTGCAATTTTCCGTTCAAACTTTCACAAGCCCACACGCTGGACTTAGGCAGACGTGAAAATTAGTACTGCTTTCTTGGGGTAGCGCTAGGCCATAGAATCCTCCTGGCAAAATTTCAGCGCCGAAGCTAACTTAGCTGCCGATTTCAAATACCTGGACACACGTACTGCGAGTCGTCCAAGTATGCTTTTTTGCACCAAACTTACATTTGATATTCAAAAACAAATTTTAATCCATGCATTACTACGCATCTTTAATCCTTGCGTTTCCAAGCAAAAATAATTTTTACCGAATTGATCAGAGTGTCGAGAAGAAAACAAAAAGGCTTTTAGGGAGAACAGCTCAAGTTTGTCGAGGTCCAGTACATCAAAAAGCAATTCACCAACGTTGGCTCCATTGAATTTGACGAAAAATAATTGTCAGTCTGAGAGTGATAGTGATGCGTCATTGTATGATGATCGAAATACCAGCAGCCGATCAGCGAATACTGTGCAGAACGATCACTCCAGTCAGGTCACATAGCTTTATTAGGGTCAGGACATGTTAAAAGACTTAGCAAAAAAAAATTTTATGTCAAAAGACTTAGCAAAAAAAATATAAATTAGGAGATTAGAAATGACTTATATTTCATGAATATCACCAAACTCGTTTATTTATTCTATAAAAAAGAAAAAAAAACTTGCATTATCAAATTTTGAAATTCGGGATTTTGGTTACCAACGTGTTCGTGCTTGTTTTTAATCTGTTGAGGATTGTATGTTAGGACTGTGCGCTAACGGTACAAAGTTTATGAAGGATGTTGTTGCGACCAGGCGAGAGAATAAAGTCCTGTGGGCAGGGCACATTGCTCGCTTTGCTGTCAATTAGTGCATTTGAAGGTAAAATTTATAATACTCAAAAAATTCGTGGAATTTTTCAGGACTCACCAACTGACGATGAGCAAACTCTTCATTTTGCGCTAAGCAAATTAATTAGTCTGATTGAGGAAGCGAGCGCAAAGTTTAAAACTGAGCGAGAAATGATCGAAAGCGAAAAGTGTTTGTTTTTTTTTTTGACAGTTTTTACTTAATTATTATGAGAATTAAAAGATTTGGTAGAGCTGATCCAGTGCCAGTAAAGCTCAGCTGCGTATTTGTAAGTGAATTTGTGTCTCTGCGATGTATTTGTGTGTTGCGCAATTAGCTGAACTTGGAAGAAGGTGTGCTGACTTTAAGGAACTTACTCGGTGCTGTCTATTTTTTGAGGCACAATAATGGCAAGTTGCCCACGGACAAATAGAAAAATTGCAATCTATAGCTCCCGAATTTGCAACTGAATTTTGTCTTGCAGCATTTGTAGCCAAACTTTGCGATGAATTAGAGTTGAAACGCAGCGAGCACGACAAAATTCGACACGAGCTAAGCAGGGAGCAGAGAAAAGCAAGTATGCAAAAAACTTTTTTTCTCTCAAAAATGTTGATTTTGAGGATAGCTTAGGATTTCACGACTGCTTTTTATGGAAATACGATGTCATTTGAAATATGGCTGCTGAAAGGAGCCAGAAACTATTAAAACTGTTCGGCAGTATTGCCTTTTAGCAAACTGAAGGCAGCACCACAAGCTCAGCAATTCTTCGAAAAAATTGTGCCTCTTCCGTCCTCATTTTCAATTAACTTATTAACTAACGATGTCTGTAACGAAATGCGCAGTGAAGCAAAGAAATTCATGGTGTGTTTCCCCAAGACCGTTTAAGCAAATAGACTTTCGGTCGAATGAGCGGCATGCAGAATATCATTACGATCATGCGAAAAAGCAGAACATGAAATAGCTTGCTTTGCTGACAGTTGGCAGTCTCGGGTACCAGAGATTAAATATTCATGAGAAGATAAATGGTCGCTCTGGTGACCTTCAAGTAGGGGCAGCGCACAAATAGCAAGCAGACAGTACATACTAAGAACTGGACTCGTGGCATAGCTGTTCCGAGCATTTGTGAGTATTTCAGTAATGTCATTAACTAGCTCCCCGAGTGGCCTTGGTGGTCGTGGTCTTTTTTTATCTCTTATGATAAAGTTGTTCTGTTTGCGAATTTTTGCAATACCATTTCAGGCTCTCGCGCTCTCTCTTCGTATACCTAGAATTGACAGTAAGGCAGCCTTTGCTTCCTATGAAAAAGCTAGTCCAAGCGTTCGAAGCAAAAGATTTTTGTGCACATTGTGGTAACCAAAGAATCGATGTTTGATTTCGGACAAGTAGTAAAAAGTCTGTTCTAGCATAATCAACACTACTTTGGTTTCCAAAAATAAACCAGCTAGCCACTGCAGTAATTTTTTTCCTGGATTCGTACAACTGTTTCTTGCAGAAATTTATTTTCGGCGCTACTGCAAAGCAAAACAGGAGTCGCTGGATCTAAGAGCAAAGTTGGCCAGTGCCCAGCAATCGCAATCGTGATAAATGTATCCGAAAATTTCGAGCTTGAACCACGGTGGATTCAGATCAATTGGCTTTATAGAATTTTGCACACAGCACAAAGAAAAAGTTATGATGGTAGATTGCTTTTGTTTTCTGATACCTACTGCTGAGCAGTGAAAATTTTGTAGCACCATCGGCTACCTCAGGAAATCAGATTGGAAGGTACTATCGATCGTGATATTTCACCTTACTGGGCGACACTTTCTATTTAGGGTATCTCCTCTTATATCTCAAAGTATCTCCTTTTTATTAAATCCCACAGAATATCAAAGCTCGGAAGAACTTCAGCCTTTTTTAATGTTCCTAAGTTTGTTCTGCTCGACTCTTATCATTTAACAAACAAAATTCCTAACTTTTATTTGACAAGCCAAGCTGTCCCCAGTGTGCAGAGCATCCCGGTGGCACAACTTACGCGGATGTCCACACCGGTTGTCCGGACGGTCTTGGTATTCCTAATAAAGACACAAAAAAGTACTCAGAGCATGCCATTTCATCTCAAAAAGTAAACAGAGATGCCATTTCATCGGAAAAGTACACAGAGTTTTTCACAGATCAATTTTAAAACCCAGGCTGAAACACACCAGGCGAGCCGGTGCGATCATGCGTTTTTGCACCAGACTTGAAATAATTAGGTTAACTG